CCTCACCCTGCGGTGTTCCTGCTTCCCCCTGCAGCAGGATTCTGGGATGCAGTGCTGGGAGCTCTGACCCCGGGGATGCCCAAGGCTGTGGGCACTGGCTGCTGCAGGCAGGGATGAGCCTGTCATCCAGGGCACTGATCCCAGGTTTGGTACAGGATGGACGAGGCCGCTGAGCACAAGCACAGGATTTAAAAGCAGGAAAAGCAGCAAGGGATGGAGGAGATGCTGTCCACAGTCTGTGGGGCCGTTGGCTTCCTGTTCTCCGTGCAGATGGAGTTTGGGGTTTGGTCGGACTGAGGCCGGGCTGGGATCGGCTGGGGCGGGTCCTGGGTGATCCAGCATGGGAAGGGGGAGCAAGAGGGATGGTGACACCAGCCCCGTGGTGGGTGTTGGGGTGGGAGCCCCGGTGCTGGCATTGGGATGGTGTCGATCCCAGCGGCAGGAGCGCTGTTTTCCTCCTGCTGGGAACGGCGGGAGCTGATGGCCCTTCCCCCTGGCCATGGGAGACAGGCACTGTCCTCGCTGTGTGTCCAAATTCATCTTCGGCTCCGCTCCCGACTGAGCCTCCCTAAATGGGGAAAAATGAGTGTAAATCATGGCTGAGGAACATCTCCCGATATCCCAGTGGAGGGACCGAGGCTGCGCTAAATACAGCGAGGGGCTGCCAGTGCCGGCAACAAACCGTCAGCAGCAAAATAAGTCACTTACGATATTGATTTTTTTTTTTTTTTAATATTATTTTCCTTTAAGGCCTGGCTCTCAGGGAAAGCTTTTCTCCTGGGGCAGGAAATCATCTGGAGGGGGGGGGGGGGGGGCTGGTTGGTTTGGGCGCTTGATAGTTTTTTACATTTAATTTTTTTGGTGCTTAATGGTTTGGAAAGAGGGAACTGTTCCACAATGACGGACACCTGTGATGGTGCTCCTCTCCATCGGGAACCTGGCAGTGGGTTCTGCAGAGGAAGGAGTTAATGGCCTGGAAACGGGCTTGAGTTGTTCTCTGAAGAAATAATTCTTTTCAAGTCATTTTCCTCTGAATTTTATGCTTTAGAGACTTCCCTGTGTGGGGGCTGCTCCGGGCACAGGAGCCTTTCACTCCTGAAGCCTCCACGTGCCGTGGGGGTTCCTGCTGCCTTCCCCACATCGTGCTGGGACCCCCGGGGCTCCCTGGGGTGGGGTGCAGGGCTGTGACCCCTCCAAACCAGGCGAGGGGGTGGAGACCCTGCATATCCCTTCCCCCGGGATGCTCCCGCTGCTCCCCCAGCCAGGTCGATGCCGTTGTGGCTTTCGTGGAGGGGGTTGGTGGGTTGTGTTTCCTCACCTGCATTCCTGCCCGCCGCCTCCCCAGCAGCTTCCTGCACCGGGGGATGCTGACGGGCTCTGCCTGCGTGGCTGGCTGCGCCCGGGATGATTTGTGGAGGAGCAGGCTCTAATGTTGCCTGGCGGGAGCATTGTTTTCCTGCGGCGCGCGCAGACCTTTGCAAATAATCTAATAACGCAGGAATGTCAAACTTCAGCTGTGGAAGGGAATCCTTTTATACAGGAATTGTCAAGTCTCTAAACAAGTATCAGAAATGAGCTCGGTATCAGTGTGGAGGGTGTTTATTCTGCCCGTCAGAGAGATGAACAACCCAATCCACTCTCCCAGGCAGACGCAGATTTGAGTGTTGGTTCCTGGACCTCAGGAGAGCTCAGTGCTGAGCCTCAGGGTGCCCCCACACGAACCCTTAAAGAGGTGAATTTCAAAATAATGCACGAGACAGCCCCCGGTGCTTCGGCAGCTCTGGGGTTTGGGGTTTTGGGTTTTCTTCCTTCCAGTTGCTGGGCAGCTCTGGCTGCTGAGGTGTGGATGGCATCAGAAAGAGCATGAGCAGACCTTGGGAGCCAGGAGGAAGGGACCAACCCTCTTGCTTTCATTCTGGGTGTCCTTGGGCAGTGCCAGGCTGGGGCCATGTCCTTGGGGGACAGTCTGTGTGCCCCAGTGAGCAGATCATCCCAATTGCCCCACAGGGTCTGGGTCCTCCTGGAGCTGGTGCCTTGTGAGATGCTGCTGATCTGGCTGAGCCCCCAGCCTCTTCCGACCTCATCCTGCTCTTCTGAGCTCCACTGCACCCTCCAGCTTCCCAGGTTGCCTTTGCCCTATGGACGAGTGTCCCAGGAAACCCACACTTGAACCTCGTGGGCACACCAGCTGGCATGCAGTGCCACTGGGATCTTTGTGGTGTTACAGCACTGAAGCAGCCGCTGGATTGCCCCATCTGGCAGGTGCCCCCCTGAGCAGAGCTGAGCGCTGGGCAGGAACCCGGCCCTGGCAGAGATAAAGGAGCATTTCATCCTCGAGAGTGAGCCCCTGGGCCTGTTGTGCTGGAACAGGAGCCCTGTGAGGGAGGTGCTGGCTGTTCAGAGCAATAACAAGTGTGCAGATAAGGGACCTCGTTACACAGCGGGTGCCACATCTCTGCCCCGGGAGCCGCTGGCTGTGCTCCTGCTGCTGTGTGCGAGCGGCTCCCCCCGTGTCCCTGTCAGACTCTCGGGGGTTCATCGGGGCTGCATGGCTTCACCCACAGGCAGCATCTGCCCGGGGCCTCTTCACCAGCAGATTAAAATCGAGGAGGGAAATGAAACCTTCACAGTGTGCTTGAGACGTGCAGGCACCGACTCTTCCCCATCCACCCGGCCCTGCACAGCCCCGGCGCCCGTTTGTCATCCGCTGCGGTGGCAGAAAATCAGCTGGAAATGGGGCTTAATTCAGGCTCTGCCTCTAGAGGTGTTCCCGGCTCCAGGAGGAATTTATGCTCTTTGCTTCCTCCTGGCATGATGATTTAAATATCTCTGATGGTGCACGGGCAGGTTTCAGCCCTCGAGGTGCAGCTGCGCAGCCTCGGCTTCCAAGTGGGGGCTGTGCCACCCTGGTGTTGGGGGACAGGAACTGGGCTGGGGCAGGGGACCCTCCCCACACCTGGGATGCACCATCCTCAGTGGGGGATGGCTCCAGCTTCTGCTCTGTCTGTGCCTGTGGGATGCTTTGCAAAGCGGGGTGCCAGGTCTAGGGGGCACAGGGTGTAGCTGCTGTTTCAGTGTGGGCTTTTGGTGTCCCCTCGCTGGCCGGTGGCAGAGGATGGTCCCTGCACCAGAGAGCAGCCACGAGACTGAACCCAAAATGTGGGGCACACGAATGCTTGGCCTTTGCTGCTTCTCCTGTTGCACCCGCCCCTGTGCACGAACCCCACCTCTTGGAACATGATCCCTCTATTTTGGTGCGTGGGTTCTGCCTCCACACGAGCCTCTGGGGGATCTGATGCTTTCGCTTTGTCAGGATCGCGCCCAGAGTCGCTCCCCGAGGCAGCCCTGTTTGCTCAGCAGCTCCAGGCAGCTTTCCCTCGGGAAGTTTGGAGCCCTTTGCTGCCACTGTCACCATCCCAGAGTGGGACCCTCTGAACCCAGCAGGCCACAGGACCCTCCACATCCAGTCATCGCCTCGGCGCCCATTTGTCTGTCACTGCCACTCCCTCCTTCCTTCAGCTTTTAACTCCAGAGGGAGTAATGAACTTGGGCAGAGATCAATGCTCTGCTCTGAGCTGGGCTTTATTCTGACATGCGGCAAACGCTGCAGTGGGTACAACTTTTTTTTTAAATTATTGATTAGTAACGCTGGTACGAGGCAGCTCAGCTCCTGCCCAGGGACCTGCCTAGCTGGGGGGAATGGGAAGAACACCCCCACTCTTTCTGCTGGAGCCCTGCCGAGGGAAGGGCAAGGAAATACAGTCAGTATTTTCAAATCCAATTTAAAGAATCTCTTTGTAGCAAACATCTGTCATCTCGTGGCAGAAAACACCTGAAATAACCTGATTTTTACTGTTTATCTAGATAGCAAATATCCTTCACGTTTCTCTGGCGTGCACAGATACTCTCATGTGTGTGATGTGTGCCCTGTGCCTCCCCCAGTGCTGAGGCCAGTGTGTGGCACCACTGGGTCTCTCAGGGCATTTTTTAGGCTGTTCAGAAGAGGTGTTGGAGCTGCACAGAGGCCGGTGCTGTGGCTGTGACCCGCTGTGAGGTGCAGCTACTGGTGCTGTCAGGGGGTTTGGCCTCGAGATCTGTGGAGCCAAAGGGAGACTGGGATCCTGCCCATTCCATGAAATGCTGCTCATGGCAGGAGCAGGGTGGTCGTTCCAGCCCACTCTGGAGTGGGGGATCCCTGCCTGGCTGCTGCCACCGGCCACGCTGAGCCCTCACCCACCCGGGCTCCAGGGTTTTCATTTCGAGACAAATCCCTCACGGTCTGGGGCAGGGATCGGGATACACGGGGGGCACATGTGCCTTTTCTCTTTCCTTTACGCTTAAAGACCCCTTAAACGGGTCCCAGACGGGCCCCGGCCCCCGTCAGTGCAGCCGGAGCCCCGGGCAGCGAACCCTCCGGGCACCGCACCCCCGGCACTGCGTCTGCGGGCGCTGGGGCCGTGCCGACATGCACTGGACCGTACTGGGCTGAGCTGGACCGGGCCGTACCACACCGGGCTGTGCCGGACCGGGCGGGTCGGATGGAGCCCCGTGCAACGCCGGGCGCTGTCCCGGGTGCTGAAGCCGCTCCCGCCGGGACCGGCGGTGCCCGGGGGTCTTGCCCTACGGGGAGCGGAGCCAGGGCCGGCGGGGGTCGCGGGGAAACCCCCTTCCCCGGGTGGGACCCGCGGTGCCCCAGGGAGTGTCGGCGCTGCCGGTGGGTCCCTGCGGGGCGGTGCGGAGGGTCCCGGCGGTGCTGGGGGGTCCTGGCGGGGCGGGCTGTGGAGGTGGCAGCGGTCCCGGGGGAGGCAGTGGGGGGGTCCGGGGGGTCTCGCGTGGGCGCGGCGGGCGCGGCCCCGCCCCGCGCAGTTTAAGAATGAACCGTGGGAAAAAAACTTGGGGGGTGCGCGCGGGCCGGGATCCCTCCGCCGGGCGGGGGAGGCTCCGGGCGAGCCGCGGCACCGCCTCGGCGCGCGGCGCCCTCCGCGCGAGGGAAGAGCTCCGCAGCGCGGCGGCGCCGGGACCGCGGCGCAGCCCCGGGGACAGGGCTCGGCCCGGCGGCGCCGCCGCCCCCGGGACGGACGCGCCCGCGGCAAGATGGGCGCCCTGGCCCTGGCCCTGGGGATTTTCCACTACCTGGGGCTCTACCTGCAGCTCGGCGCCGCCTCCCGGCACCCCCCGTGGGACGCCCCGGCGACGGGCAGCGGTGAGGCGGCGGCGGCGGCGGCAGCCGGGGCTCGGGCGGGGGGCGGCTGCTCGGGGGGCGCTCCCGGGGTTCGGTGCCCCGCGGGGCTGGCGGTGGGTCGGGGCGGTCCCTGCCCGGGCAGCGGGACGGGTGCGGGGGTTCGGGGGTCCCGGTCGGGCTCCGCCGCCGCTGGCAGCCCCACGTCGCGGTCCGTCGCGCCGGCGGCGCCGAGGAGCGGGGGGCGGCCGGGGAGAGCCGGGGCTGGGCTTCGCCGCTCCCGTCCCCGGGGCCCGGGGGGGGGCCTCTGCCTCCGCCGCTTCGCTGACGAGTCGGGGGCTCTGCGCGGTGCGTCCCGGTGCCCGCCGCCACCCGCACCCCGTGTCCGTGAGCCTCCCGGTGCGCCGCCCGGTGCCGCCGCCCGCCCCGCCGTGCGGAGCCCCCCGCCCCGGCAGCGGGGCTCCTCCGCCGCCTCCCGCCCCTCCGCCCGCTCCGGTGCGCAGTGCCTCGGCCGGTCGCTGCTGCCGGGTCCGCTCGGACCCACCGGAGCTGGGGAACGGGAACCTTTTCTGCATCCTGCACTCCCTCGTGTCCTGGCGTGGGGGCAGTTTCCCTGTGGGTGCCGAGAAGGGGGTAGGGGACCGAGCCCCCTCTGAGGAGGCTGCCGGGACCCTCCTCGCTCTCTGCTGGGGTGACACGCGCGGGGTGAAATACGAGCCCGAGGAGTGGCCACGGGAGCGTGCTGGGTGCCCGGGGTCCCAGCTCTTCCCCTCGCTCCAGAGGCTCCGGCATGCAGAGGAATCCACTCTCTGCCCCAAGGAGCCTCCAGGCACTCGACGCCTCGGCCCGTGCTAGGGGGGAAGGTGTGAGGTGTCCCGCCGTCCCTCGGCGGTGCGGTGTGTGTGGGCCAGCAGGTACCCGCCTGCCCAGGGATGGGGTGATCAGCCTCTGCATTGGGGGGGATCGTTGCGGGAGAGTTTCCAGACCTGCCAGCCTGGCATGCCAGAAGGAGAGGTGGGTGAGGAGCCTCCATTAGCCGCCGCCGCTCCCCTCAGAAATTCAGCAATAGGCAAATAAATAGTGAAATGGTCGCTGCGAGGGAGCAGGGAGCCAAGGAGAAGAAATATTCTGGGAGGGTGAGTGCACTTTGGAGCCACATTACAGCTTGCTACTCGAGCAGTTCTGCAGCAACTCACTTAATCACAACAGAAACCTTTATTAACGATACTGAAAAGCAGTGAATAAGTGGGTCATGTATAATAAGCCGTTTGTGTTCAGTAGGTGAATACCAATTTGATAAAAGCTGTGTGTGCTGGAAACCTGTATAAATCGCTGTTTAGCAGATCGGAGATTGATCATTTCATTACAGGCTGCTACAGCTTTCCCTCCGCACCGACAAGAGTCCGGCAGGTCGGGGATGTGGAGCGGGAGAGGAGGCAGGGCCGGTGGGATGGATTCGGCTGTGGCTGGTGGGGTCGGGCAGGTCCTGCCAGGCTTTGCCCGCAGCAGGCAGTGCCCAGAGCTCGCCGCCATCTCTGCCCGGGGCTGGCGGCCTGGAGGAGCCTCCACAGCGTCGCGAGGCTCTGGCACAGCCCAGGAGTGGCTTCGCTCTTCCTTTTAACTTGTTCACAGCGAGGGAATCGACCGGGAGCAGTATGTGCTCCGCAGGCATCGGCGAGTGACCGTGAGCACCCTTGGGGTGCGGGCGGCTCCCCCATCCTGCCACCCCACAGTGGGCTCTGCTCTCAGGGCAGCCAGGGCTGTGGGGGAGAGAAAAGTCACAGTCACATAAAGTCCTTTCCCTACCCCCACAGCAAAGGCTCTGCCTCGGGCAAGGATGGAGCCAGGATGGGCTCCATCTGCCCTGGGAGAGCGCCTGAGCCGCAGGATCCCTCCCGCCATCCCTCCCCTACCCACAGCGCTGCCTCTCCCCCCTCTCTCCTCTCCTCAGGCTGGCGCCTTCAATTATTCATGCCCCCCATTGCAGCCTGTGCACGCTGGGCTGCTGCCATCGGCTTTCACACGCGCTGGCTGGGAAGCTCCAGCCACCTTCCCAGCCTGCTGGCTCCGGAGCGGGGCAGGGGAGCCGTGCGGTGCGGAGGACAAGCCCGTCTCCTTCCCGGCATCGTGTGCAGGCTGTACCTCCTCACCGTCAGCAGAGCCCAGGCTGGAGGGAGCGGGGCCCCGGCTCCCCAGGGCACTGCCCTGCTCCATCCCTGCACACCCCGGTGATTATTCTATCAATTACTTTCATAAACACTTTGCATTCTGCCGGATTTTTTCACACTTCCTGATGGGAATTCTCCACCCGATGTGTTTTTCCTGCTGCTGTTCGTGCAGTCATTCAACGCAATTACATCTGACACCTCTCCTCATCAAATGTCTGGGCTTTCTCTTCCCTTGAAGTGGCTGACAGACGATGGGCCAGACACTGGGAATTATTACGTTAGGACAGTGACAGCTAATTTTAATCATAACGTTCCCCGTGAGCGAGGGGGGAATCAGAGCAGCAGCCGGCACGGCTGTGCCCGGCCTGGGAGCTGTGGGCAGCACGGCAGGGCTGGAGCGAGGATCTGGAGGGGGCCAGGGAGCTGGATGATCTCCACTGCTCCCCTCTTCATCAGAGGCTGGGGCAGGGAGTGCTCTCCCCTTCATAGCTCCTCTGGGATTTTGGTTCACTGTCTGAGTGGGACTCGTGAGCCTTGGGACAGACAGCCCTTCCTGGCCCCACTGCTGATGGTTCTGGCTCTCTCTGAGCTCTTCTTCTCCATGGCCATTTCCCCTCCTGCAGGCTTCTTTCCTGCCTGGCTGCCCGCTCCCTACAGCTCCATCTGCAGTGGGTGCCCAACTGGGCACCAGGGATGTTGGTTGGGCTCGGTTGTATTGGGTGAATTGGTGCCTTGTAGCGTGTGCTCCATGTGGAGCTGGACTGGGATGAGCCCACCAGTGATGGGCCTGGCAGAACCGGGCAGGAGGGGGCCGTGTCTGTGAGCACTGAGTGCTGCCAGCTCTGTGGGATGGTACCAGCACTGTGTGTGGTGTGGGCAGCTCTCAGCAGTGGCCGCCAGTGCTGGTGGCTCATGTTTTGGGTGCTGGGTGTGAGACCAGGGGGCTGATCTTCAGCAGAGCAAAGCTCTCGTCTGTCCCATCCCAGCTCCTGCCTGCTGGGAACCATCCACTGGCAGAGAGCAGCACCAGAGCGAGTGGTGGCTGCAGGATGGCTGCACATGCTGCTGGGGTCCCACTGGGAGCTATCAAAACAGGCCATTTTAGGGCTTTGGTACTTATGCTATCAAATAACAGCTCTTCCTTGAGCCCCTTGGGAGGGAATTGTCTGAGAACTGCGGCTCCCCAGGAGCCAGCCAGGAGCAGTGAGTCCCCTTGCCTGGGTAAAGCTTCACGTAGCAGGGGCCAGGCTGGGGGGACTCACCACTGGCAGCTCTCCCTGTGGTGGCTAAACATCAGGGCAGCAGGATGTACAGGGGGGCAGGAGCTGGAGCATCCAAATGTGATGGGGCACTGCTGGAAACACCTGCAGGTTTCAAGGTTAATTCCATCTTCCTGGTGAGGTGAGTGCTGGCCTGATCACAGTCACTGAATTAGCTGGATTTTTTTGTTGCTGTTGTTTTTAATTCATGCTGCAAATTTGAGCTCCTTCTGCTGCTAATGTGACAGTAAGCAGGGGCAGAGCAATCGCGCTGCCATCCCCAGCGTGTGGCGGGAGCCTCCTGGCCTCAGCCACGGCCACAGCGCTCCAGCCTGACATGTCTCGTGGGAAGGGGGAGATGGCTGGATCGCTGGAGGAGAGCAGTGCTCACTGTCCGAGCCCTCTGCCCAGCTCAGCGGCCGGAGCCACCTGCCCTCTCTCACCAGTGCCGCCGTCACGCCGTGTTTATGCAGCGGTTTGCACCGTGATGTGTTTTCGGCGCCCCGGGGTCAGCGTCCCTGCCCGAAGGCTTGTCAGCAGGAGATGCATCCACAGCTGTTAGCGGTGGTGGGAAGGAGAGGGAGGCTCTTGCGCAGCAGCCGCTGGCAGACCTGGTGTCCCCGCGGTGGGGACAGTGTGGGTCACACGGCCAGTCCACTGGGATAGTGCCCAGGCCTCTGCTCCTGGATCCAGCCGGAGGGTGCTGCCTGTGCCTCCTGATCTCCTGGGGTGTGTCCTGCTCAGGCAGCCCACAACAACGGGTGGGGGGGTCCTGTGGCACCCAAGAGGATCCCTCCCGCTCTGGGTCCCTGCTCGGTGTGTGCCGGGATGTGCCGCGGGTGCCTTTGCTCGGGTGCCTTTCACACGGTGCCGCCACAGCCGGGGCTGTCGCTCCATCAGCCACACGGGTCAGGGATGCCTGGGGAGGGGAAGGTGCTGGAGGGGCCGTGGGTGCCTGGGGAGGGTGCCAGCCGTGGCGGATGCTGTTGGGCACGTTTGTTTTTCCTGCAGTGGTGCAGCTCAAACCGAGCAGGTCGGAGCCGGCCCCGTGCCAGGGATGCAGGGCAGGGTTTGGATGGACGTGTCAGTGGGCAGGAGCGAGTGCAGAGAGGCTCCTCAGCTCCCTCAGCCCCTGTCCATGCCCAGCGTGGGACAGAGCAGGACCCCAGCCCCACTGTTTGCCTGGCACGTGCCACTCCTCCAGCCCAGCTGTGACTCTGGTGAGGGGCTCCAGCTCTGCTGAGCAGAGAAAGAGGCTTCCAACTACCTGGCACTGCCACGACTTAGGGGAAAATCCCTCCTGGAGCAGGAGCCTGTGCTGACCAGGTGATTAAGAGGCATTTGCAAACATCCAATACATATTTAATTGCCCTCCAGTACATGTTTGCACAAACATTAGCCCGAGTGCATGCCCACGGCGCTGCTCCAGCCATGGGTGCCCTTGGTGCCTCGTGGGGGCTGTGGTGGGGGGCCACTGGAGCTGGGCTTTGTGGGTCATTTCCAGGTACTCAGGGCAATGCATGAGCTGCCCTTGCCCCAGCACAGGGCAGGTGGGGAGTGCCCCATCCCTGCTGCCCCCAGACCCCCTCCCTGTGGGGTGGGGTGGCGGCGAGGACGGTGCTGCCTCAGGAAGGGAGCACACAGCCCGTCTGCCTCCGGTTTATGAGAGCACCAAGCTGTCCCAGCAGGCGTTTTCAATTCCGTTTATCTGTGTTTCCCCATTGAGTTCGTTTTATTTCCCCTGATTTTTGTTTCCTGGAAGATTTATCGATCCTGGTGTTCTCAGTTTATGACAGGTAGCACAGGCCATAAAGCACGCGGAGCAGCGGCCCCCAACGGCCCCCTCCCTCCCGCCACCAGGACACCGCACCAATGTCAGGGGGAGGAGAGGGACGGTGCTGGGTGACAGAGGGGCCTGGTGGGCAGGGGGCCGGGGTGCTGGAGGGGCTGGGGCACTGACCAGCGTTGGTGACCTGTCTGGTGTTGGTGGGAGCAGGGTCCATGCCCAGCCAAGGGCCTACTCATGGCTGGGGGCTGCCTGGTGGGGTCCTGATCCCCTCTGCTCATGTCCCCATGGAAGTGCAGGGCTGGGGCCGAGCAGTGCATCAAGTCCTGTCCTCACCACATCACCTCCGTTCAGGCATCTGAGGTCTGTGGCACCCACTGGGGAGGGCACACGATGGGACACAGCTGAGAGACATCTGTCCCCAGCAAAGGTGACGACCCTGGTCATCCGTCCATGGGACCTGCCCTCCTCTGGATGCACTTGAAGGTGGCCAAGCCCTGGGATTAATTAACACATATGCTTCCCAATTAAAATCAGAAAGAAAGAAGGTGCTTGATTCAATCCAACCTTTTCTCTGCTCATCTGCCGAATTCCTGCCTGTGGGAGCAGATTTTATTTGGACCCAGCTGGAGCCCTCAGGGGCTAGAGCTGTGGGGCCTGTGGGGGCTGGCACAGCCTCTGCTGTACCCGCTGGCTTTGGCCATCACTTCTGCCAGCAGGAATCCTGTGGGGCAAGAGCCTGTGGGGCTGCAGCCAGGGAATGGATGGACGAGTGCTGGTTAACAGCTGGACACAACAGCCTCAGCACCACCGTGGTGGGAGCACAGAGGAACCCTCTGCCCTGTGTCAAGAAGACCCTCCTGTTCCTGCCGCTGTCCTTGGCCCCCAGAGCTGTTCCTTTACCAGTGGCTCCCTCCACTCACCAGCACAGAACCCAAATGGCTGCTGGTGCCAGGCCCTGGGCTAACGGGGTGTGGGAACAGCACTGGGAACCCCACCGGGAGACCTGGCCTTCATAAACCCTGGTGTTGGGTACTTTCCTCAGTTCCCTGCTGAGATGGATTAAAGGAAAGCGATAAGTGGGTGGGATTTCCACGCGTCCAGAGGGACGGGGAGATATTAGAGGTATTAACTTTTCGTCTGGGCTGATAATAATTGGTTTTTCAGAGGGATCAGGGCTGGTGAGAGCGCTGCTCCCGACAGGCTGTGTGTCCCAGGGGGCTCTGGTGGCGCCGATGGGACCTCACAGCGGCTGTGAGCCGGCAGCGCCGGCGGCAGGAGGTGGCGGGTGAAGATGAAGACAGGAGTCACAGGGCAGCCTCTGCGGCCACGACAGTGATGGGGCATGCAGGGGGCTGGCAGCCCTGTCCCGGTGCTGTGCCATGCAGGGGGCTGGCAGCCCTGTCCCGGTGCTGTACCATGCAGGGGGCTGGCAGCCCTGTCCCGGTGCTGTGCCATGCAGGGGGCTGGCAGCCCTGTCCCGGTGCTGTGCCATGCAGGGGGCTGGCAGCCCTGTCCCGGTGCTGTGCCGTGCAGGAGCCGTGGCAGAAGCGGCAGCAGCGCTCGGCAGAGCCCTGCGTGCCGGGGCTGTCTGTGCGGAGGAACAACAGTCTCTCCAGAGGAGATGAAAAGAATTCTAATTACATCTCCGAACAATATTTGTTTTGAGTGAGGAAAGCAAACCATATGGCGTGTGGGAGCCTGTTTGGGGCCGCATTAACTGAGGATTTGTTTTTCATTTATGCCCTGATCTGAGAGAGATGCGGTTGTGCTTTATTTATTTATCACGCCTCGGAGGCACGTGGGGTCCCGCACTCACTCTGGGGCAGAGGTCCCAGGGGTGCCGTGGGACGGGGGGGGGTACAGGCTGCTGCTTCCTCCCTTTCCTCCCACTGCTCTCTGCGAAGTGCCAGGGGCCGGGTGGGCCAGGTGGCTCTGCTGAGGTTGGGGACAGGTCACCGGTGTGGGCAGGGGGAAGTTGTGGGTGAGAGGGACCTGTCTGCTCAGCTGAATCCGGGGAAGGGTTCAGGCCCTCCTGGTGACCTCACTGGCGTGGCTGGAGGCATTGTCCTTTGCCAGGAGGGCGGTGTGCCCTGGCAGGCACCACAGCCCTTGCTCTGTGTCCCGCAGCCCTCTTCACCGAGACCCCCCACGACATGACGGCGCAGGCGGGCGAGGACGTGGAGATGGCGTGTTCCTTCCGCGGCACCGGCTCCCCCTCCTACTCCCTGGAGATCCAGTGGTGGTACGTCCGCAACCACAAGGACTGGACGGACAAACAGACTTGGGCTTCCAGCCAGGTAATGCCCCTCGTCCTCGTCCTCCACGGCAGCACAGAAAGGCTTTGGGACCAGCGGGGCTGGGCTGTTCTGGCTGCCCTTCCCAGCCTGGCCCATCCCTGTGACAGAGGCAGAATCTTTGTTTTTGTGCTTGTGCCTTCGCCTACCTCATCACCAGCTCATCCCTCATGGCCCTGCACCCTCCGTGCCTCCCTTTTTTCCCTGTTTCCTTGTGTATTGGCCCAGCAAACAGCAGTCTCTTTATTTCCCTCTCTGTTCACACAGAGATAAGGGCCAAAGAATGGGAAGCGGCTCTGGGGATTTTAATGAGCCTTTATTGTCCTGTCTTTGGCAGAGCTGCTGCTGGTGTTGCCATAAATCGAGAAGCCTCGGGGCAGCGCTGCCCAAGGGAGCATTGCCAGGGGCCAAGGGTGGTGGGGGCACTGGGAATGCTCAGCCAGTGGCTGCTGAAGGGGATTGTTGGTAGCAATGGGGGCAGGTGCTGGCAGTGATGGGGATGGGGTTCCAGGGATGGGGGGCACTGCTGCAGTGGTGATGCCACAGTGATGGGGGCTCCATCCCCAGTCCTGGATCATGGAGAACAACTGCTGGCGGAGCTGAGATGCAGGAGGACGTGTGGGTGATCACCCTGTGCCCCCTGCCCGCTGTGGTGCTGCAGGTTCCTCCCATCCCAGGTGCTTGGTGGGCCTCTATCTGCCCTGGGTGCCTGGCTTTGCTGGGGCTGAGCAGCCCCTTCTCCCTCTTCCTCCTTGCTTTGGGGCAGCCATCATGGGGGTGGGAAGGGGTCTGGGGGCCTCCCACCCTCTCCCAGCTGAGCTGACCATTTCTCTTCCCTCTCTGATCTCCCCCCATGCTGCTCCTCCCACAGCTGAAATCGTCACCACCAGAGGAGCCCGGGAAGGACGCCACCAAAATCAGCGTGAGTTTGGGCAATGGTTCTTGGGGGGGCTGTGCTTGAGGGCTCACTGGGGTGTTCTGCTCATCCCACTGGTGCTGCCCTGTCACAGGCTGGGAACACCGGGGTGGGAGGGCTGGATCTGCCCTGGTTTGGTGCTGGGGGTGACCTGCTCTCCCTGGCACCAAGTGGCACAGCCTGAACCCTGAGCCCTGTCCGGTATCTGAGCGACACGTTAATGCCAGGGATAAAATAATCCAATTGGCTCAGCGGATTAGCATCCCAAAGCCATTTAGGCTCATGTGAGCAGAATGAGGAGTCACTAATCAGTTAAATACAGCGCTCTCGGCCTTCCAGTGCCCAGCACCTGCCCCTGGCTCTCCCTGCCTTTGGGGGGCTTTGCGTTTGGGGGTCCCACGGACACAGAGCAGTGTTGGAAAGTGCTTCCCACCATCACCCCTGCCCTGCCAGCCTCTCCTGGCTATTCCATTTTTCCCTCATTGAGCAAGCAAGGTGGGGATGGGGCTGGCCAGATGCCCAGGATCAGTCCCTCATCCCCAGGAAAGGACCAAGAGTTTTTTACAAGGAATACAATGTCAGAACCCTTCCTGACGGAGGGCATCACCTCTCAGTGCCCAGCACATGATTCTCTTGTTGGTAACCAATCCCCCTCCAGGGGCCACGTCCCCTTTGATCAATTCACACCCACAGTCCGTATCCAAACCTCAGCAGGTTCCTTAAGGATCTGTCTCTTACAGGAGTGCTGTGGCTCTCTGCCCCACAAACACCAAAGTTCCAGGGCTGCTGCTGGAGCAGTTGCAGCCTGGGCTCTGCCACGCTTTGCCAGACCCTGTCTGCAGGCTCAGGGTGCTGCTCCTCATGTCCCACCCCAGCCCTTCTCCCAGGGCAGGGGTTAGGGATAGGGTTGGGGTCAACACTCCCTCTCATCTCAGCATAATTAGGCAGTTAATTGCACGCCGGGGTGGAATCGATGCGTGTGCGAGTGTAACTGGGATTTATTTTGAACTGGTAGAGGTGCGACGCCTCTGCTGCCTCCTCCAGATCCAGCCAGCAGGGAGAGGCTGGAGCTTCAAACCTCTTTTGTTTGTTGTTATTTCAAACGTCTTTGATCATGAAGTGTTTACGGAATGGAGGAGGTAAATGAACGCATGTGGTTCCGATGGAACTTGTGGTACTGCCATGGCAGCGGGTGACTGGGAACAAACAGCAGCACCAAACAGTGAGGGGTGATGTAAATCCCACTCAAGAGCCACCGTGCCAGGAACCCCTTGGCCGTTTGTTATCCACCAAACACACCTGGTGCTGGAGGCGCCGGCTCTGCCTGGAGCCACTGCGCTTTGCAGGGATGAGAAGGGAAACACGACCGGTCTGGGTTTATTTTTTTCCCTGCACGGCACAGGGCTGAGCTGGGGCTGGGCATGGCACATCTGCCCATCCCGGCTGTGCCAGGGGCTCTGCCCTGTTCCCGTGGTCAGTGAGGGCCATCACTGCCCTGTCTGTGCTGATGGAGCCACAAGAGTTATGGATGCTCATAAAATCCTCCCTCCCGAGGCTCGGTGACCTGTTGGGCAGCGGCTCCGTGGCCACTGGCAGCACCAGCAAATTGGGGTTTTATTTTATTCGTTCTAAATTTCCCAGCCATTAATTTCGGTGACTTCTGGCTCTCCCAACAAAGAGGTTTTTTTTTTTTGAAACTCCTTTCCCATGACAGCCTCAGCATCTGGGCACACTCGCACCGGGACCTGGCAGCTCCTGCCCCCCCCGCCTTGGCCTGTTCAGACCCCCACTCCTGACAATGCAGGATTGGGTCTCATGGCTGCACATGGGGTCTGAGCAGCCCCGAGATGCCCTCTGGGGTGGCCCTGGCCATGAGCTGTGGCACCAGCTGCCTCTCAGCAGGCCATGGTGTGCAGGGCAGCCAAATACAGCAGTGTATGTCTGTTCATGTGTGTGCAGGTGTGTGTAGGTGTGTGCAAGGTGTGTGCATGTGCTGGCTGCCCTCATGTTGTGTGGCTATGGGGACACGAAGGGGTTCTGGTCCCCACACTGCCTCCTTTGCCATTTGGGGCAGATTTTGCCTCTCTCTGGCCCCGTTTCCAAACACCATAAAATCCTCAGCTAACAAATGCAGCGGTGAGTAGAAAAATGGCCTTTGCCATCCAGTGTGATTATAGGGAACGGAGCCAGGGGCCTCGGGGTGGGTTATAAATCTGATTTATTGACCCAGCCCAGAGCAGCCACGGCTCTGGCTAGTGAGTAAGTCTTAAATTTCATTGGGTGATAAATACTGAGAGCGAATCAATTTGGTAGAAAAGCTAATTAGCCAGCGTGGTTCCGCATCGATCTCCGAGCCCTGCATGGCTGGGTGTGAGCCGGGGCTTCCATCATCCCACGGACCTGGGCTGGGGCTGGGTCCCCCCAACTCCAACTGCCCGGCTTTGCCCACCTTCACCACGTCCTCCCCAGAGCGTGGCTGGGCCGTGGAACGGTGGCACGCGGTCGGAGGTGGCACTGAGCCGGGCATCTGGGGGGACAGTGGGAGTCCTGGGGACCACCTGACCCGCCACCTGCCCTGCTGCAGGTGGTGAAGGTGGTCGGCAGCAACATCTCCCACAAGCTGCGGCTGTCGCGGGTGAAGCTGGAGGACGAGGGGACGTACGAGTGCCGGGTGATCGACTCCAGCGACGGCAAGGCGCGGCACCACAAGGTGAAGGCGTACCTGCGGGTGGAGGCGGCGGGGGGCCCGGGGCACCCCCAGGACACCGAGCTGCGGGGGGCCCCGCTGGCAGAGCTCGCCGCGCCGGGCTCAGCCCACGCACACCACCACCACCACCACCACAAAGCCGGGAGGGAGCTGAAGAAGCGCTCGGCAGACACGTCCTGTGTGCTGTAGGCGGGCGGCGTGGGGGGATGCCGGAGCTGCCCCCCCTTCCTGCCCTGGACTCAGCGGAGCCATCGAGGGTCCCGCACCCCCTGCCAGAGACTGGCTCCACCGCCCCACCTCGTTCACCACCCCCCACCACCTCCCTCTCCCACAGGCCGCCGCAGGTTTCTCCCCCCAGCCCTGTGGTGCAGCGGTGCCAGGGCTTGGTGCGGGAGCAGGACTGTGTCCGTGCCAGGGGCACATCGCTGGGACTGTGCCCGGGGCCAGGCTGTGTGCCCACACGTGGTGGTCCTCATCCCCACGGCCTTCTGTGGGTGGGCACCTGCTGCTTGATGCCACCGCAGTGCCGTGAGCTGTGCTGCGCCCGAGCTCTCCACCCAGTGGAGACCCCCCTGCCCACGGTACCTTCCCTGCCCTCCCTCATGCTTTGCAGAACCGGCCGCCTTTTCCCGTAGGTTGCCCCGTTTAGTTGCTCCGTTCCAGCCCCACAGTGCTTATCTAAGTTCCAGCCTCCATCCTGCAGCCCATGTGTATCCCCCTGCCCTGCCCTGCCCCTGCCTGCCCCGAAGCCCCCCAGCACGTCAAGGCCTGAGCTCAGCAGAGGAAGGATGGCATGGCACGCTCCTGGCACGCTCCTGGCATGCTCGGGCATCGCTCAGCCAGGCAGCTGCCCGTGCTCCGTGCGTGCCCAGGGAGCTGTGCTGTCGGAGCCGGCCTCTTGCACCCATCGCTCCTCCTGCCCTTTGCATTTGGTGGAGGACAGGGGCTCATCTGCCAGCCCCACCCACCCTCCCTCCATCCCTCTGACCGTGCCAGCAAGGCTCTTGTCCCCTCCTGCCAGCTGAGCATCCCTCCCTCCCACACCACGGCACCATGTTGCCCTGGCCAGGGTCTGGCTCACGGACAGAGCCTGTCCCTGGTGCCCCTCGGGTGTCCACTGCCACTGGGGACAGAGCTGTGGGGAGGGGACAGGGGGATCCCAAGCCTCCCTGCCCGGGGGGCCGGGCGCTGCTGCCCTGCCACCCCCCGCCCGTGCCACCCAGCCTGCCGCCACCAGACCTGCTGCAGCTAATAAAGCTCTTTAAACAAAGCCTCTCGGGGTCTGTTGTGCTCTCTGTCTGTGGCACAGTGAGGGGAACACGGCTTTGGCACTGCCTTGGCTAAAATGGGGCTGGTGGGGCTGGGATGGGGATGGGCATCAACATGATCACCTGCAGCTGCAGGCCTGGAGCATGTAAAAGGTGCAGCTGAGGAGCTCCTGCCCAGCCTGGGAGGAAGTTGCTGCTGCTGCTGCCACCACCACTGCCACTCAGAGGGGTATAGGATGTGGCCAGGACCTAGGTGAGCTGGGGTTGATCCAAACTGGGTGTGGCTGGGCACCGTGGGGTGGCTGGTTGGGCTGCCATCCTTGACACCCACCTGGGAGCCCAGACTAGGTTTCCAGTGTAACAGTCCCAAAAGCAGGGTGCTGGCTGCCCCTGGGACCTGGCTCTGCCTCTCTGGTGGGAAAGCAGTGCCCAGCCTGCACCAGATGCCCAAGTCCCCCAGCTCCCTTGCAGCTTGTTACTGGCTCCTCACAGTGCTGTGAGGGGGTAAGAGCAGCTGGCCGGTGCCAGCCTGTGCCAGGGGCACGAAGGGGCACAGGGGGCTGGTGCCTGTGCAGCCACAATCATCTTTGCCACCTGGAGAGCTGTAGCCCTGGGGAGAAAAGGGCATAGAAGAAAAACGTTCAGGTGCTGAAGGGTGAGAGGCTGCTGGTGCAAAATTCCACTTTTCCAGGAGCAATAATGGTGGCTGTGCCTTAGCAATCCATGGGGTTGGGTCTGTGCTTGGCTTCGCCCAGTCAGGGAATGGGATTGCTGGAAGGAGAGGGATCAGGAGGCATCAGTCACTGGTGCAGCAAAACACCGTCCACAGGCAGAGGAAAAGGAAGAGCGAGAGACACGTTGGGGAGGGCAGGAAACTGCAAATCACCTCAAAAGGGGAGTAAACAAATTGCTGTGCAGTGTAGTGATTTGTAAAACCCGGAGGTGAGCTTTAACAATAACAGGTTTTATTAGAAGAGATTAATTTTGCCGAGCTTATACGAAGTCTCGGGAGCAGGAGTTGGAGGAGAGGACCCTGCGGGGTCTGTGTGTGGGGCCCAGCAGTGCCTGGTGCTGTGTGTGGGACTGTGCCCCTGGGTCTGGGGCTCCCACATGGTGCCACCCGGGTTTGTGCATGGAGGAGGTGGCCGGATTCGGGTTTCTTGGCTTCTTCTCCCTGGGGAGAGCGGCTGGAATGGGGTGAGCCAGGGAGTTGCCCCCATATGGGTCCAGATCCCAGCGGGTTTGGGGGCTGCTTGTGTGCCTGCCCGGGGAGCAGCGTGCCAGCAGTGAAGCCCCTGGGCTAGTGAAGGGGCTGAGCTAAATATGCAAGTCACTGCTGGGGAGGAACCGGCCTCATGAAAATGCCATTTCCACACAGTCTCTCTCCCGGCCATTATCCTGCTTCAGACAAAAGCAATTTACTCTGTCTCCAATAAAGCAGGGGCGATAACGAAGCTGAGAGGAGCTGTGACAGGTGGCTGTGTGACAGGCAGGCCAGCCTCTCCTGCCACCCACACCCACCCGCTGAGGCCAGGGGGGGAGGTCTCTGGGAGAGCACTGGGAGACACTGGTGCTGTGGTTCTGTGCAGTGAGCTGTGCCAGAGCCCAGGCTGGGGGATGTGGCTGGTCCCTGGGCAGTGATGGGACAGCGCTGCCCTCAAGTCCTGCAGCACGGTGAGCCTTGGCATGGGCAGGCTGGATCCTTGGAGCCCCCACTGCTGCAGAGGCAAGCAGAGCCAGGCTGGCTTGAGCATCCACACCTGATGGATGAGTTTTATCAAGTGCTACAACAACCCAGAAAACTGCACCAGCCCCAAGGGCGCTCAGAGACCGAAGGCAGTATTTCACCTCCCTGCCTGCCCTGTCAGACCTGCTCTGAAGGCTCCTTTGTACAGAACCCAACCAGCGTTAAGCACTGAACAGGTATTAAAAAAGGATAAAGCTGACCTGCAGCCCTGTCCTGCTGGGTAAAAAGCCACTGACTTGTGTTGTCCCTGGAGAAGCAACTAGGAGTAAAGCCTGAATAAAACCAGGGAGATGAGGGGAGGTAACCTCAGCTGAGGCAGGTGGGCAGCAGTAGCAGTGCCCAGCAGGGACATGTTTTGGATGCTCACCCAGGATCCCCAATAATGATGCACAAAGCCTGCTCCACGTAACAATCCCTTTATTGCTTTGGGGGTTTTTTTGTTTGTTTCTGAGCTTGCTCCCGAATTTACTGTCAAGATCTAATCCTTTTGCTTCACTTGCATAGAAGTTCACGTGTCAGGAGGCAGCCTGCTGCCAGGAGCCACTCGGGTGAAGCTGAGGGATCCAGGAGTCCGTGAGGTTTGTGAGCAGCCAAGCAAAGCAGTGCCTGTGGGCAGGTAGATATTTCACCTAATTCCCCTTGGGGGGGGGGATGGGATTAGAAATGGTGTGAGAGAACCAGGTGACCTGAGCACAGGAGAAGTTGTAAATCACTCCCAGGTGTAAATCAGGGCTGGCTGATTCTCTACAGAACCTCACAGATGGTGAGATGGGGAGCAGAGCACGTTCAGCAGTCTCCAGCCAGTCTCAGCAAACCAGCTGTGAGGAGCAGCCCCAATGCTTCTGAGAGGACATGCTGTTCTTGCCAGTAACACTGGTGAGAAATTTATTGGGAATGCACTTTTTTCCTGAGATTAACTGGTGTTTAAAAAATCAGGTTTTTAGTGCACCCCAAAACCACATTGTCTTGAAAAGGGTTAAGGCGAGAAAAAGCTTTTGTTTTGACCTGGCAGTCACTGTCCAGCTGAGAACAGGAGGGATCATCACGGCTGTGAGGAGGTCAGAGGGGTGTGGGGGATGCTGAAGGGGCACCCCCCAAGGATCAAGGGCTGGGAAGTAACTTCTGGAAGATGACTCACTCTTCATACTGAAGAATTTGAAATAGACGTGCTGTTTTCTCTGCACGTGGTGCTGGAGAAGGTACAAGTCAGTAGGAGTCAGGGTCATCCACCTCATCCTCAAACACTGCTTCAAAAAGCAAACCTTCTGCCAAGAGGTGTCTCAGCCAGTGCCCCGGACTGGGCAGCCCTTCCTCTGCTCCTGACCGACTTGGCGCCTCAAGGACGGCATTTTCCCAGGTGAGCTGTATCCTGGCGGTTCCTCTTTCCCCTCCCAGCTGCCGTGTGGGTCTGTCAGGGGGGAGATGCCTCCCGAGTGCTGGCCCCTGGCTCCGTGCTCTCCTGCTGCCGCAGCCTCTGCAGCAGGAGCAGCGCGTTGTCGGTGAGCTCGTTGCGCGGCCGCCCCATCCCGCCGAGCCTCACGGGCTGCAGGCTGGCGTGGGGCGGCTCCCAGGACTCGGGGCAGCACACCTCGCTCAGCAGCAGCCACGTGCTGTCAGGGTCCACCTGCATCAGGTGCAGGAAAACACTGCGGGAAACAGAAGGGAGAAAGGAAAGGAGAGTAAGGAAGGAGGGCTCTTGGTTGGCGCTTGACGGTCGTGAGGAGCTGAGGAAAGCTTCGATGGTGTTGGTGGCCTCTGGCAGCCGAACAGGCTCAGCAGATCGTTACAGAGGCCAGTGCAGTGGCCCCTATGCCCAAGAGAAGGCAGCTCTGTGTCTCACAGCTAGAGGCACGTGGGAGAAAATATTTACTGTGCTCCGCAGTCAGTTATGGACATCAAACAAGCAGCTGGTGCAGAACTGACCCAGGCTTGGCCCTGGCATGCTGCTGGCACAAGCCTCTCTAAACTAGCCTGTCCCACATGCAGAGCCCTGCAGTCACCTCCCCACCACGTGCTGCTCGTTTCTGGGATCTTTTGGGCAAGAGCTGCTGCAGAGATCTTAGAAGAAGCTGTCTGTTTTGTTCACCACCCCCTCTGATATTTGGGGAGAGCTGCCTGGGCTGGACCCCAAGGGAAGCTCAATGCTGTATTTGAGGACTTTTTGCTCAAATGAAGTCTCCCTCCATCCCAAGTCCTTATCAGCTGCCTCAAATTTTCTTCTTTCTGCACGGCACCTTTTGGAAAGCAGGATTTTAAAACAAAACACAACCTTCGTTAACAGCAGAATGAAGGAAAAGAAGAATCTGCAACTTCCTCCACGGCTTTACTGCGGTGCTGATGGTTTTCACTTTGCATTTCAATACCCCGGGAAGATGGGATTTACCTTTCCAGCATGCCCTTCACACTGGGCTCCAGCTGAGCTGCTGGGACGAAGCTGCTGCTGGAGAGCAGGAAACTCGAGGAGCTAAAGAGCAAACTGCTGATTTGTGTGACCTACACTTACCCACCCACTCCTGCTCAGGAGGTGTACTGGGCTTAACTGGTATTAAGTTCTCTGGCTGTGCCCTGGCCAAAATTAGAGTGGAATTTGCAGGCTGCCCTGACAGCCCTGCAAGGCCTCTACCTGCCTGGTGCTGAGCGCTCTGTGAGCACCACTGGTAGTCAGCACTCCACAAACCTACAGGACAGCTTTCCAGGATCCCAGTGAAGCCCAGCCACAAAAGTCTCAGTTCTCCAGTTTCCACTGAAATCACAGGAGACCAGCAACGCTCAGGGAGGTAACGGGAACAGAAACCATGCTGCCTTGTCTCTGCTCCCCCAAGGAGCACGGGACTGAACCTCCTTTTCTAAAAGCAAAGATCACCTGCTACAAAAGCCACATAAAATCTGACTGCTGCCCAAACTTCTCCCTGAAGAACTTTTATCCCTCAAGTGAGCTTGCTTCCTGTGTAAAGCAGGGAGAAATCCCTTTGAGAAGCTCTCCTCTGAAAGGGAGTGTGGTGCCATGGGTGACTTGAAAGAGCACAGAAAACGAGATGAAGGCACGAGAAAGCTCCCTCTCCTCTTCACAGCAACC